AAGTTGATTGTCGAGCATGAGGTGTCATCGAGCATTCATCTGCAAACTCCTAGCTTCAGTGGCATTCACTGGTGAGGTCCCCCCTATCAGGTACTGGATGCGTGGATCCATCAAACAGGGTTCCATAGATGTTTTGGCATGCATGAACGTATTCGACTTCTCCGTAACGCTAGGATGCCTGAGGATGCCTGTGTGTAGGGCCCAAAATTTCTCCTTGAGCTAGTCAACCTGAGCTTTGATAGAACATCTACCTGAGTGTTGAAGGCACGACGGACTTGGGCAATCTTGAAGTCAGTGAAGTTGCCCAACAGTTGTTTGTCTGCCTTCAAATATAAGGTCATCCTCGAGTCTTTGGCCACATACTCTCCATTTACTTAGTGGAAAACAAGTTGGAAGTTGGCTAAAATGTAGAGGTGGCCAGCCTTTACTGCTTGGGGTGGCTCAAAGACCTACCAAAAGTACTTCATATTCAGCCTCGTTGTTCAAGGGGGAGAAATCAAAAGCAATGGAGTGCTCATGTATTGACCCGTCAGGGCTGTGTAGAACCACTCTTGCTTCACTATCGGCTTCGCAGAGGACCCGTCCACCTTCAGCAACCACCAAGAGGTGAACTATGGAGAGTCATGCTCGAGGGTGTAGTGTCTCCGAGAGGTAGATGCCTTGACATCTTAAGATGTCAAAGGCTTTCGTGGACTGATGGAAAGGGTGGAGATAGTTCATCATCTCGAGAGGTCCACTCAATGAGGAAGTCGGCCAAGGCCTGGGTTTTGATGGTCGTTCTCGGCTCGAACTGTACATTGTACTCACTAAGCTCAACCAACCATATAACCATCCTTCCTAAGGTAGTGGGGCTGCCGAGTGCCTTCTTCAGAGGCATAGTCATCCGCACATGATGGTATGAGCCTAAAATAGGTGGGAAGTCTCCTAGTCGAAGTGATGAGGATGAAGGAAGCTTTCTCAATAAGAGGATAGTTGAGTCCGACTACCTTCAAGATCCGGCTGACATAGTACACCTGCTTCTGAATACCCTCTTCTTCTCAGGCTAAGACAAAGCTCACGACTACGAGAGATATGGCCAGATGGAGGTACAAGATTTCCCCTTCTCTGGGTTAGCTTAACAAAAGCTTGGTGCTGAGATATCTCTTGAGGTCATTAAAGGCCTCGCTACGTTTAGGATTGAGAACTCATGGCTCATCACTTTGGGGGGCATCCTTAGCATGTGTTCAGGCCCCCAGTCTAATACAACTGTGTTCGCCAATAGGAACGCAATCATGGCTCCTTGTTGAGGTTCAACAAAGCCGGATACAATCTTGACCTTCTTCACTCCTTTTTGGTTGATCGGTATCGCATGGAGCTCCTCGACGGGAGTCGTCCTCTCTCGCTCCAATATTTCCCCATCTAAAGGCATGTCTTCTCAATGGGCAGGGCCTCTAGCATTCCTATTCCTTTCATCGAAAGCAGATAGTAGGATCTGGGCTCCTTCTGATTTCTTCTGGTAATTCCGACACCTTCAGGAGTCAGACACTTCACCATCTGGTGGTAAGTGGATGGGACTGCCTGTAAGTTATTAAGGGCAGTTCTTCCCAAAATAACATTTCAACAAAGATGGATACAATCTTGACCTTCTTCACTCCTTTTTGTTTGATCGGTATCGCATGGAGCTCCTCGACGGGAGTCGTCCTCTCTCACTCCAATATTTCTCCATCTAAAGGCATGTCTTCTCAATGGGCAGGGCCTCTAGCATTCCTATTCCTTTCATCGAGAGCAGATAGTAGGATCTGGGCTCCTTCTGGTTTCTTCTGGTAATTCCGACACCTTCAGGAGTCAGAAACTTCACCATCTGGTGGTAAGTGGATGGGACTGCCTGTAAGTTATTAAGGGCAGTTCTTCCCAAAATAACATTGAATGCTGACTTAAGAATCATCACTAGAAACTAAGTCTGAATAGTGGACAGGTGAGGATACTCGCCGACCGTTAAAGGGTGATTGTCATCCCTTCTGGTAAAAGAGAATGCCTTGCTAATCCAATGAGCGGTCCCCGGTAAGGTTGCAGCTTGGATTTATCGATGCCTATCTGGTTGAAGGCATTGATGAATAGAATGTTCGTAGAACTTCCCGAGTCGATCAAAATCCTCTTGACTTGAAAGCTATTGATTCCAGTCGAGATGATGATGGGGTCATCGTGAGGTGTCTCAACACCTCACAAATTCGAGTCATTAAACAAAATGGGTTGATCAATCCTTGGTTGCTTATCACACAAATTAACTTGCAATGCTCGTCTATCATATTTTTTACGATCGTTGTTAGACCATCCTCTAGCTGTGGGTCTACTACTGATAGTGTTGATGACCCCTCTATTGTTGGGCTCGACTGGTCAGATATCTGGTGGTGGGTAGGGGCGAGGCAACCTAGAATAGGACTTGTTGATGGCTCCTCCAGTGTAGGCCCTCTCCTATCTTGCTATGAGACTAGCCCCTTCAAGTATCCTCTTTGTATCAAGTACTCAATCTCTCTCTAAAGGACCTGGCAATCATCGATAAGATGGATGTGACCTCGATGATATTGACAATATTGTCTGGTGTCTCAAGACCGAGGATTCGACTTAATGTGATGAGGGCCAGAGTTAAGATGCCCCTCTTTCTGGACCATGTAGAGGGCTTCCGTGAGAGAAGTGTTGAGGGCATAGAGGATCAGCTGAATGGGCTCCTTCTTTCGATCCCTCTTGTCGGCCCGGTTTGACCAAGGTTACTTTTGGGGGGATCCCTTAGTGTCTCTCTTCTCTGCAGGTGGTCGGCCTCTCCTGCCGACCTAACTGCCGGTGTTGTCAAATTTTAGTTATAGAAATATATGAGTTTAGAGCTACGGAATACATAATTCCTTTTAGTTTTGATTTCCTTTAGAGGTAAGAAGGATAAGTCTGGACAGTTTACAACATAATTGATATATGTGATTCATGAAAATATTATCTGATTGTATGTGCTTTATAATAAAGAATATGTCATGAATTAATTTATTGACGTTTGCTATGAATAAATATTTCGTAGTAAATAAATTTGTTTCAGTATTGCTAGACTACAATGTTGTAACGATGCACTTTTCTCCTGGACTTAATGTTGACACAGAGGCTGTAATATCTTCGAGTATACCCCAGTTGAGCAGGCATCCCCGAACTACGGGTAGTGAAAATGCTAGGGCAAGTCAGGGAAATACCAAGTCCCCTAATGTGATAAATGATGCCCTTGATGGGAATATCAGAAGAAGATCAGGACCCAGGACTCACGAGGTAAGGACTACTCATGCCGCTAGGACTATGAGTGCGGTTACTGAAGCTCAATGTGGTGTTGAAGGGCTCAATGGTTTAATTGCGATGCAGAGCAGATTCATAGAGAGACATGCTGAGTTAGCGTATTGACAAATGGAAATTCTAGAAAATAAGTCAGAAGCAACTGAGAAGCTAAGCAAAAATACTAGGTGTCCAAAAGAAGACTAAATCTATGGGTTGTGGCTTTGAAAAGTTAAAAAATTGGTCTCCACCATCTTTTGAGGGAGGTTCTGATCCAATGGTGGCGCAAGAATTATTGATAAAAAAATGAAGAAGTACTTCAGAGGCTTGGGTTGTTCAGAGGAGCAAAAGATAGCTTATACTACTTTTATGTTGGACAGAGATGCAGAGATCTAGTCGAAAACTAACAAGGCCAGCTTAGAGTGGGAAGGATATTCCTTGGAGCTAATTTGTTGAGCTATTCACAAAGAAATATTTTTCCTTGTATGTTAAATCTCACATGAAGAGGGAACTTATAGATTTGCAGTAGGGTGACATTACATTAGAAGCATATGAAGCTAAGTTCATTGTGTTGTCTTGATATGCACCTGAGGTAGTTGAGGAAGAATTCAATAAGGTAGAGATGTTTGAGAATGGGTTAAGACCAGAAATCTACAAGAAGGTTATTGTGGTTATGTCAAAGAATTTTACGAAGGTAGTAGAAAAGAGCAAAAAGAGCTGAATAATTAAGTAAAGGAGAGAAGACTACAGAGGAACCAAACAAAAGCGGGGACCAAGAGAAGCAGCTCAAAGACCAGAGAGACATGTCAAATTTTTCAGACCTTCTAAGAAGCCTACATTTTGAAGATCAAGAGCTCCAAGATAGAAATCAGCATAATCTGATCAGAACATTGGGTCCCCTATTCAAAGGCATGATGGTCAGTGTTACAGGTGGGGGTATAACTGCAAGGGTCGTATATGTGCCTTATTCCAAGGATGCTAAGAGTGTGGGAAACATGCTCACATTCCAAAAAAACCTTTCCAGCAAAGAAGGAAGCGAAGCCCAATGATCAGAAGGTGATATCCACACATAGTGATGGTTAGAAGTTTAAGACATAGGGGAGAGTATTTCCCTTGACAAAGTAGGATACTCGGGCATCTAACTCCGTTGTGGCAGGCGCACTCGTTATTTCCTCTCAGCTCGCACATGTGTTGTTTGATTCTGGTTCTTCTCATTCATTTTTATCTCATCACTACTAAATAATAAGGCATCCTAGACGGAAAATTCCGTCTAGAAAAATTAGAATTCCGTCTAGGATGAGTATTCTAGACGGAATTCCGTCTAGAATACGCCTCTAGGAAGTTTCCGTCTAGGATGTAGTATTCTAAACGGAATTCAAAACCGTCTAGAATACATCCTAGACGGATTATCCTAGACGGAATTTCCGTCTAGAATATTGCATCCTAGACGGAAATTTCCGTCTAAGATGGGTATACTAGACGGAATTCCGTCTAAGATGGGTATACTAGACGGAAATTCCGTCTAGAATGTTTTCTTAATTTTTTTCCTAAAAAAATAAGCATTCTAGACGGAATTTTGAGCATTCTAGACGAAATTTCCATCTAGGATGCTATGCTACAGTAATTTTTTTTTTTTTTGCTGCAGAATCTCACTTGGAACAAAGATGAAACACAAAGAAGATCTGTCACATTCAAAACATGAAGCACACGCAAGATCATAAGAAGAAATATCCCAATTCCGATGACTAAAAAATCAATTTTCTTGATGAACAAAGATTAGAATTCTGAATGTTCTGGAGTCAACACATAAATTCTTAATGATAATCTGTACACAGAAATTCTTAATGATAATCTGTACAAAGCTCTTAATGACAATCTGAATGTTCTCGATGGCTTGGACTAATGAAGGAAGAATGTCCTCTATGCATCGCCATGCCATTCGCACAAAGTCCTAGTTGTTCCAGACGTAGAGAGCCCTTTCCGCTACCTGATCAGATTCAAATACCAAACATGAGAATTGATTGATGTCCTCTGCCCATGAACAATATTCTAGCACCTTAATCAATCAAACGTCTAATATAAAAAAAAAAGTTTGCCATCTTTTTTTCACCTGTTGCTTTATGATTTTTGCATGATGATCTTAAAATCTGGTAATTAACAAATGATAAACTGATTCTCTTTTGTAATTTGTTGTTGATCCCCCACAATAATATGCGGATATTTTTTTTCTTTATCATAATAGTACCAAAAGTATGCCAATGTTTTGATAAAATGCTACTTTACAAAATGCAGTATCAAATGGTCAAACAAAACTGGAACGAAGGATAGTTGCTTTATGTAAATATTCAGTTTCTGGAGAAGTGGAGGTATCCAACTTGTAGCACAATTCCATAAATGCATCAACTTGATATTATTACCAAATGCACGAAATGCTTTCAGTACATATATATCCAATTTGCAATAGCATAAATCAATGGTGTCTAAAACAGTTTCCAAGAATGAGATTTCGGTTGCTTTATAATATATCAATGGCAGTGAGAATGTTATCTGTCATGAATCATGGCGAATATCAAATATTTTCTTTTTTCAAATATCATTAATGAAATGGATGAATACTATGAGTTCTACTTATAATGAATTCTCAAGACATCACAGATCAAGCAATATCAGTAAATTGACAGTCATACAGACCCTATTGTAGCCTTCCCCGGTGAATGACGCACCATCACAATAGCGAACCTTGACTCTGTTCCAATTATAGAAGTCTGCAAGAATTATAAAACCAGTTTCAATGAAAATAACTTCTAAAGGATTTTGTTTTGAAACTAGCTAAACAATTCAAAACATAATGAAGGGTTCAGCATGAGTATACCAGGATTCTCTTCACGTTTGTCACTCATTATTCCAGTGAATGAAATCTCCTTCTCCATATAGTAGGATGAACCACGGCGTGATTTCTTTCGGTAAGTACATGTTCTTAGGTTATTGCACCAGCCTCCTCCCTATGACATTATAACACGAGTTTCAAAACAGAAATATGCTTTTGGACTATTCTAATAACTTATATTTAATGTTATAATGTAATGTCTACAGACCTCTAAATTAACGAGCCAATTATTTGCTCCTGACCCAAATCCATGATGAATGTGGTAACCAGGTGGGCTACCATCCATACATACTGCATCAAGAAAAATTGATAAGATACAAGTAAAATTTCTAGTCCCAAATGCCTTAAAACATGAAATCAAATTAAAATTACAGTGAAATTAGAACGTGAGAAAACAGTGAAAATTTGTCTAGGATATAAATGGATAGAAACAGGCTTTCTAAGGCTTAAGGCACAGTAACATATGAATACAAACGCAAATAATACAGAAACTGGCTTCTCCAAAAGGAAAATTTTCCTAGGTTCCTCGTCTCTAATTGGCTGAGCAAAAAAGTTCCCAGGCTAAAATAACAATATGTCCGATCGAAATTTGAAGCAATTAATTGCAATCAAACAAAATAAAACAGTAGATTTTTGTAAGAGAAACCAAAAATGAAGGTTAGGAGAACAATATCATCATGCCCAAAATGAGGAAGAAACAAAAGGAATTCCTCCATGTATTTCTCTTAAATTCCAACTTCCACTTTCAGTCCCCAAATTTCAGGTTTCATTTATTACAAAAATAATAATCGAGTCTCAAATTAGATAAATAACATAGGGATTAGGGAGGAAAATACACAAGGCACAGGACATAGGATATAAATGATAAAATAAAAATATACATTAGATTATCACTTCAAATACTTTCTAATATAGCCCTTTTGCTAGTATTCAGCAGATACAGAAAGGAATCATCTAATCAACAAACAAGAAAAATATTTAACCTGTCGTATAGTTGCTTCAATTTTTTTTGTGCTTTGACATCAAAAGGATCTGCATACATCCAGAAATCACAGAGGAGAGACCAGAGGGGGTGGCCAAAGGTCGCCGGAGCGTTGCGCTCGACGAAGAAGTGGCTGTACCAGGCAAGGCCATAGCCTGTGAGTACCAGGCGAGGCTGTAGCCTGTGAAGGGGACGAAAGGGAGGAGCCAGAGGTTGAAGAAGAGGGAGAGGAGGAAGAGGAGGCCAAGGATGGTTCCGATGAAGTGGAGGGTTTCTTATTACGATATTGGGCGGAAATTTTGGGTTGAGAGGGGGAATTTCAATTTTGGGGGAGAAATTTTGGAGAAGAAGCGGGAGAGGGAGGGTGAGGGTTTGGGGGAGGCGAGGCTGAGGGAGGGTAGAGCAAACGGGTTAGGGAGCGCAATGGCTTTAAGTTTAGTGGGTATGTGGGTCGGGTTCGGGTCAGGTTACGGGTCAGCCATTTTTTTTTGAAATGAAAAAAGTATTCTAGACGGAAATTTCCGTCTAGGATAATCTTTTCATTTAAAAAAATATTTTTAATAAATCCGTCTAAAATGTATTATTCTAGACGGAATATTCCATCTAAAATAATACATTCTAGACGGAAAATTCTAGACGGAAAATTTCCGTCTAGAATATTCCATCTTATACGGAAATTTTTCCGTCTAGAATATTCAGTCTACGATTTGTAATATTCTACTAATGCATAGATTTGCTAATAAGTTGCATAGAACTTCAGAACTATTAGAGTCTAAGTTATCAGTGTCCACCTCAACCAACGACTATATGATTACTAATCACATATTTGAGAGATATGAGGCAATAGTGGGAGATCAAACTATGCATGTGAATCTTGTGTTTGTTGGTATTCATGATTTTGATGTTAATTTCGGTATGATTTAGCTTGCTACCTACCATGCAGCTTCAAATTATTTTCAGAAGTGAATTTCATTTACAATTCTTAGGGAGTGAGTTTTTTTTCTAGGCAACGGGTGTTAGTGTTCCTCTATGTGTCATTTCAGCTATTGAAGACTGTAGACTGGGTTGTCAGGATTATCTTGCTTGTGTAATGTCCACCGAGAATAAGGAAGTTAGATGAAATTCCAATTGTTCGGAATACCCCAAGGTGTTTCCTAAAGACCTGCCAAGGCTGCCACTTGATAGAGAGATGAAGTTTGCTATTGACTTGCTTCTAAGAATGGGACCGATCTCCAAAGCACCTTATCGAAAGGAACCGATAGAGCTGAGGGAGTTAAAAACTCAATTTTAGAATTATTAGATAAGGGGTTCATCAGGCCAAGTGTATCCTCTTGGGTGCTCTAGTGCTCTTTGTGAAGAATAAAGATGGAAGCATGAGATTGTGTATAGATTACCGAGAATTGAACGAGTGACCATGAGGAACTAATATCATTTGCATCGGATTGATGATTTATTTGACCAGTCGAAGGATAGTTAGGTGTTCTCCAAGATTGATATTCAATTTGGATATCATGAGCTCAATATTAAGCCTAAAGACATGTGAAAGATGACCTTCAAAATAAGATATGGACATTATGTATTTTGGCAAGGTCTGAATAATGCTCTAGGAACACAATTGGGTTTTAGCACATCTCATCGTCCATAGACAAATGGGCAATCTGAGAGGATTATACAGACACTGGAGGATATGCTTCATGCTTGTGTTTTGGATTTGAAAGGTAGTTGGGGGGACACAGGTCTCTACACCTATCTACATGTCCAAAGATGACCGTGTAAAACCTAATATGTCAACTCTTGCATCATTTAATTTAAAATAATATTAATATTATCATTCATTCGCCTTGAAACGAGTTCTGCATTAATTTATCAATGTGTCGAGTTCCTCTCTCATACTGTATAGGTATCTCATAGTATCAAATAATCTAATATTTTCTTATTTGTTGCTTAATAACATGTAAATAGTCTAGAAAGACTAAATTACATGTCTAAAGAGAGATAATATCAAAACAGAACAATCCAGGTGGTTGAAAATATGCCCAGGCGTACGTAATTTTCCAACCACACATTTGCCCAAAATCCAGACGCCTCTGATAACAATTTGTAGAAACTGGGTTTCTATCAAATCCGATGCAAACATTTGGTTTCAAAATTAGACGGCTAAAACAAAACTAGACATCTAGTCATCCTCGAACAGACAACCTATTTCCTACTGATCAACACGATTTAGTCTTGTTCTTCATCATAGCACTATTTCATCTCCAGTCTTCTCATAACTCCTTGTACGTATTGAGGGAACTAAAAAAACATGTTTCCACATGCTTTCTAAGGGCAAAAATTAAAGCCTACACATTACTGGGATTTCGTATAGGTTTTGTGAATGTTTCAGATGCTACCGATCATGTAGGGATTAAAACTTAATCGATCTGATGTTAACTTATTTAAATCATATAAAGAACAAAATCTAGGAACCTCATATGATTTACATAAATTTATAGGATTTCATATCAAATTGAAAGAAAAGATGAATCAAGAATAACCACAAAATTAAGAACAAGTGGAGAAACCCTCGCCTGAATCAGAGATTATTTTCTCCTGCTGATTCTTCTTTCTCTGTGGGCATCCTCTACTGAATCAAAGAGTTTAATTCTCGCTTTAAAGATTATTTTTATAAACAGAAGGAAAATCCTTGAGGATATGGGTACTTATAAACAATGGATCTATTTGCAAATATTAATTCCTTTATTCTTATAACCCTCAGGGTTATGCAAATCCCCTTTACTGTTAAGTCCAATTTTTAATTATTCATGAATTTCATTCTAATGAAATTATACTTTAGAATATTTTATCATATAAAGTGAAAATAATTACACAACTTGTAAAATTTCCTTATTTAAACATATAATTTAATCAAAAAATCCGTCGCCTTACAATCCCACTCAGAGATTGTAGGTAAGATTTGAAGACTACAAATTCAGCACAACAAATGGCAACGATTACATGTCCAAGTTATCTACTTGATGATAGAGGTAGATTAGTCATCTTACAGCATAACCACATATAGGGAGAAGTGGGCAGCTCTACATATGGGACATTCACATTCAACGACAACACCAATGTTCAGGTAACAAAAAACTTATATAGTGCCCTAGTCCATTAATACTGGCAGTTGAGGAAATATTCACTCTCAACCATCCAAGCAACCAGGTCATCAAGAAGAACATTCTGACTGATTTGTCGACTTGGACCAAAATCGACCTGTAGCGACATCAGACTCCAATACAGCAGTGGCCATAGCTCGACTAGAGGCATAGGTCAAGTAAGCAGAAGAATGCAGATGAAGGGGGAGTGTCCAAGTCATACCCACTTGAACGGGACGACATACCCTATCCACCGAAGTACGAACCAACAATCTGTTGCACTTTTGATGGATAGGGATCAACCCAAGAACATCTCTACCAAATCAAAATCAAAGTAGGTTGTACATTAGAATGGATTGGCTTATGGTGTGATTGTTTGCCAGTACCTTCACAGGTCTGGTTTTCCCAAACTTCGAACTCCATCAATTCATTGAAAGATGCACAAAAAAAAAGCAATTTCTAGATCAATTCTATGAAATTGATACCTAGCCAAGTTACTTGAGGCTGCTAGTCAAAAACTTGTTGGTCAGGGGAGAAATTTCCAACATTTATTGGTAGGTTTCACATCATCGGTAACGTTTCAGTATTTTCTCACTACTAAATCGGTCAAACAATGACTTATGTTTATGAGTGTCTCATATTATTACTTTCATAGTGATATAACTCTCGAATTATTTCTCATTCTATGTGTATTTGACTTAGGAGGTTGGACGAGAGATCCAGTGTAGTCGAATATCGATCTTATTGTCAAATCTCTAGTATTTTGACTATTTGACCCATTTTTATTTAGAATATAGATTTCCCATACTCAGGAAAATGTTCCTCTCATCATTTTACACGTTGTGCCTAAAATTTAGCCCAATTAGAGTTTGTCAAGAAATGAGGCATTTTCAGCCATCGTGGTCAAATTCTGCTTAGACCACAAGACGTATAGACAATGGGCAGATGCTTGGTGCCCATGATCGGATGTCTGGTTTGATAACATTGGCTGAAAAATAGGGTTTTAACCTGTTTGCTTTATTTCTAAAACGTGGCACGTTTCAATCTGTATATACCCAACCTTTCTCTCTCGACGGATTAGTTCATTGTCCGATCTGATTCTGACCAAGGCAAGTACCGACTTGCCTAGTGTTGGGGCGGAAAGTCACGCCCACCGACGCGGAAGCGATATCACCTGAGAGATAGCCCTGGCTTTTGTTGTCACAAAAGCACAAGTCAGCCTCTATATTCTTGTTTCTCAAAGGAAACGAGAATAGATAGTGAAATTATTATTTCTCAAAGGAAACAAGAATCGAAAGTGATATATTTCATCAAAGTGAAATATACACTCTTCCTCTCATCAGCTCTAAGACCGAATATTGAGAGAACCTACAAGCTATGACAACTCCCAGATAAAACAAATACAAACACGAGATTTACGTGGTTCGGCTAACTAGCCTACGTCCACGGGAGGGGGGTTTTTCACTATGAGGAAAAATACCAAACTTTACAAGTTCTCTCTTCCTCTCTTTCGTTTCTCTCAAAAGAAATCTACACACCCACTTATTTTCCCCACACTAAAACACCTCCACCACCTCTCCTATTTATAGGAGAAAGAACCAAAGGTAGCAGGCTGGCAGAACGCGCGGGAACGAAAAAACTCGGAGCGGGAAAAAACGGTCACAATTCTCCACCTCGTTCATCATTTGATAAACCTCAAATTTTGAACGAACACCAGAGGAACCCCACGAACTTCACCAGAGAGATCCAGGACAAACCAGCTGCGTCACTATACCGCGACTGCCTACATACCCTCCACCGGGATCAAGCTAACCGTAGTTCTACTATTATTCTCCAACATAGTCTCCACCTCACCTCCATTACTGCCCCGCAGGGCCATGCCCTCTTGGGCAACTCAACACGGGCTGATATGAAGCAAGTCCAAGCAATGCTGGTCATCAAAGTGAAATATACACTCTTCCTCTCATCAGCTCTAAGACCGAATATTGAGAGAACCTACAAGCTATGACAACTCCCAG